ATAAACCTGAGGCAATCTGGCTCACGGTTTCTAAGAAATGACCAACCTAACTTGTCTCTTCCAAGACCAGCATAGTTGCACTGAAGGCAATCTCACTTGTGATCTGGGAAAGGACCAACCCAGAAGGGCTACAATAATTGTTAAAAGAATATACATGAAATTAAAGTTACCTTGTGCAGCAATAAACTTGTTATGACTCTTGTAACCCTTAGAAAACAAGAAACAGAATATTACAATAATGTACAGACAGGTGTGTCTATCACTTATAGACAGAGAATAAATGCGTTTTGCCAAGAAAAAAAACATAGAATTTTGAAATAAAATAATTCATTGTGATAAAACCACTTGAAAAAAAGCAAATTGAAACTAGTTCATTCAAACTATTGGCATAATGAAAAGTGGAACAAAAATAATGAACACAAGATTATACTTACATCGACATAACAAGCATTAATGTAATCAGAGTATGGATCATCTTCAATCGGAGTTAGTTTCACTCTTGTCTGGTCATCTAGAAAGAAAGATATTGATGTATACAAGGTAGTGTACTACAGTGTTCAGTAACAAGAAGTTGCTCTGTCATTGTAAAGTCTGTATGAATGAACCAGGTATTGGTAGCACAAACTAATGACCAAAAACTAATGATCTGATGAATTTGTGTGCAAGGTGACATTTTTAGCTCCACTGTTGAATTTGTCAAGCAGAGCTTATCCTAATGTACGAGTGATTGTCCGTCATCATCCTAGTCAACTTATTACTTTTTCGACTTCTTCTCGGAAATTACAAGCCTGATTGCTTTGATACTTGGTTTATATGTACTTTGGGTAGACCTCTCTCAGATTTGTTCATTTCATGATAATATCTTCAATTCTCTAATCTGATGAATATTTTTGTCATTTCCAGTAAAAAGTGATATTTTTGACTTCTTGTTGAAAACTACATGTTCAATTACTTTGATATTATACAAATAGGTATCGCAGATGGACCTCTCAAATTTGTTCATTTTGTGATGATATCTTCAATCCTTTAATTGAAATGAGCATTGCTAACAGTAGAACTACATGTATCTCAGTCGAGAGGCTGCTTCTCTGACTTTTCCCGACTTGTTGTGCATGTGTGCAAACCAGTCTCCCAAACCTAATACGGCATGTTTTGGAAGGCAGGACAGACTGTACTCAAACTTATACAGCTGTTGGAATGAAACCCAGAATTTTTCAGACGTGAAGCGAACATTCTAACCAATATAACATCACTCATTTCTCAACTTGCAGGTGAACTGAATGTGTATCATGTGTACAATTTAGGGAGAAATATTTGAAATACAATTAGGCTTAGTTTAAGAAAAGATCATTAGAAATAAAAAATCAAAGATATCATCATGAAATGGTCAAATCTGAAAAAAGAAGAAGGCACCTTATCTACATAGTGAATAAAAAATTTTAACACAAAAAAAAAAAAATAATTAATCTGGCTTACAGATTTGATGATGATTTGCAGTAGACACTAATAATGATGAACAGTTAGTCAATGTGAAAATCTAAACTTTGACATCTTCGTAAATAGAATAATGAATAGAGAGATGATAATACTCACAGGCAAGGATATTGATATATCTGTTTTTGATTTTATTCTCAGGTATATGTGATGCTTCAACGGTCACAGGTTTGGAAGACTTTGGTAGATCCTGTAGAAAAAGATTAAAAATGAATGTTCATTTTTTTAATTTCCAAAAATATAAAAATATTTTGAATCAATAAAAATTATATAAAATTTATATTATAATTGTATATTTTAAAGTGAAGGCATTACAAACTTTAACGACAAAGCTGTAGCAATACAATGTCAGTTCCAGCACAATTTTCAATCATGTCTACTAATTGCTTCCACATTAATTCCTGGGTCACAGTTCAACTTACATCATATTCCTTTTTGAGCAGGTCATTATCATTAGCATGTTTAGTGGCCCATACCAGTGGCAATTGTTCAGCAGGAATAGGTGGATATGTCGGTGCATTCTCATAGAGTGCGTCTAAAAATTAAATGAAAAAACAATGTTTAAGTCCAATTATTGGCTACACCTCAATAAATTAATAAATCGCTCAATAAATTTGAATACCTATATTTCCAGGAACACTAAATTAAAAATATTTTACGGAAATATTGAATAGTACTTGTCTCAGAATATCTTTTGATATTCTGAAAGTCATGGAAATATGCAGATTAATTTGATAGGAAAACCAATAATACTTGTGACAGTAAGATAAAGTTTTGGCATGAAAAATTGCCAAAAATATTTTGGCTTAGAATTTGTCATTTGAGATTATTTCTCTTGCCAAATTATTGCATATACTTTCATACACCAATGAGATTACACATTATAATAAAATAACTTTTTCCATTCATAACTTTTTTTCTGAAATTTGTCTTGATGGTAATCAAGTAATTCACTCTCCACAGTTTATGCTTTCAGTCAGATGCATAGCCACAGTATAGGTGCACTTAAAATGTTGTCAGAAATATTTTTTGATTTGTGTTTACTGCTCTAATGAAAATGTGCATTCAATAGCCTAAGAGAAATTAGAGATCAGAACCTTGATTATTTGACAGCTCACATTTTTTTTTAAAACTGTTTTGCACATTTTTATGTAGTTTTCTATTATTTCTTTGTTAATTTTTGACTAAACAGATGTAATTTCCATTACCGTCAGGTCTTTACTACAATTTTTTGAAAAAATAATTAATTCAGACATCATCTATTATCAAAGGATTTTGAAAAATCTACAAATAAAATAGGCTTAGTCTAGTGAATAGGTCTGGAGGGTTCTGGGTTTAGGTAGTATGGTATATGCTGACATTTTTTTAAAATCAGGAGATGAATTTACATGTAACAAAAACTTAATCATACCTTGATTTATAAAAGCAGAATTCTGCCTGCCTTTATTCTGTGAATAGGATCTCATTCTCAAGACATTACCATAAGCAGTTTTTTTCTCTCCATTTTTCCGTCTATGTCTGAACAATATAATAACAAATTAATAATTACATATTTATGTTACAGGGTCAGGGTTTAATTTATAATAATAATATCAACTGAGCCAAACTCAGTATTGCTGTACTAGTAACACTTTATACATGTACATGATAGATGTCTCTGATTAATTCATACTGTAATGATCAGATTTCAATAAATACATTATTATGTGTGATTTTACTAAACGACAATTATGCTTCTAGAAGAGTAAATATGGGCATACCATAAAATGAGCATAGTGAATCAGAGTGAGTTTCTGGTACTTAAAATACAGCGACAATGGAAACATTTTTGGCTCACATTCACTTTATAGATAAAATCACTATATTATGTAGTTTTTGAGGCATGGAACAATCAATGATCACTGAATCTCATGCATCCTTTTCCGATGTATTCATCCTTACAAACAAGAACATATTTTTTTCACATATAGCAACCTATTCACGAGATAACAGCAACCCCTTACAAAAGTTTCCCAGAAGATTTTTAAAATTTTAAAAATCCTAAAGGAATTTTCTAGAAATGCTATAGAACATGTAATATTCCTATATGTATTTATGCAAAATCCTATAGGAATCAAGTAGTCCTATAGAATTTTACATCGGCAGTCCTATACATGAGATCTTAGGACTTTAAACTGATAGTCCTATAGCCTTATAGGACGGAACATTTATACCTGTCTGCATATTTAGAGTAGAGGTTAACTAGATTCATGTCACTCCCTTACAAAAATGTTCTTAAGATAATACATAGAAATTTGATGTCAAAAATATTTTCCAATTGAATGAACTTTTGTCAATCTCATTGCAATCACCATGTATTTTTTTTTTGTATTTTATATTTTATTGTATTCGAACTGCAACTTTAAAGATGCAATGTGGATGAGGATATGTATTTGTTAGTGTTTTTGTTTGATATTGCATATTGACATATACATTAGACTGTGATTTATGATGAACTGAATCGATGTTCTTGTACTACACATCAGAGTATCTGTTTAATGTAACAATGAAAGACTCTAATATGCATGTGCATTAGTTGTTTTGGTGCATACAATAATGATCAGTACACATGTGTGTAGGTGTTTAGGACTATATCTAACGAATATTGCTGTGTGTGCTGCAACTGCAACATTTTAGTTAAGCTGATCATCCAATTTTGTCTACAGTTGGAGAATCGAACAACAATAATAAAAACAAATATTTGTTCTCATCCATATTGCATCTTTAAGAATGTAGTAGAATTTTTCTCGGAAGTAAAATACTTAATTTTACTTTTTTTAAAAATGAATGTTTACTGTATTCATGACAGAACATACGTGACGTTACATTGTTTTGCCAAAATCACATTTTTTTTGACAAGTGCGTCTGAAAATAGTTGTCATAGGAAACACTATAGAACTTATCACAACAGAGACAAACAGCTGATTAGTGGAAAACACAACATTGATTCTACTATAACTCTTAAGAACCAACAGCAACAATACACATGCATGCGTGCTACAGAACACCTAAGGTAAATGGTTATCACTTATTTTAATACATTATTAAAACTCGCAAAACTGTCCTTCAACTGGAAATTTAGTATGGAGACCGTGTTCCTATGTAGTACATCAATACAAGCCCCCGAATATGTGTCACCATATTTCATTATAAAAATAAACCTTGTACATCGCCAAATATTGCATGGTGTATAAACACTAGCCCTGATCTTGTATCATTGTCAACGTCAATGCGATCTCTAGTTACAGAAATTTCGCCAACCATATTAAATAATTGCAGAGAGCCCTGTCGATGCTTGCACCACAACAAATGATTGACAACTGGCGACAATGCTATGTACCAAGGAATGCGAGAATACTTGGCGGAACTACTTGGATTTTCGTGTACATTAAAACAAGGGGTTCTTTGTTTTAATATATTTTAGAGACATGTGCATAGCTTTACATAAATCCCAAATGATGTTCATTCCATTATTAAAATCGAAGTGTCCTACACGATATAATGTAATACTGTAGAATACTTTATTTTCGCTTGGAATTTATTTTCGCTATTTTCACTGGACGGATGATTCCGTGAAAATACAAGTCATTGTCAATGACACGTCCCCG